AATAACCTAGCAAAGTATCGAAATGTTATGTAAAACGACACAGAGAGTCGGTCAACACACAATTAACGCATTGCCTGGTCGATTACGTATTTCAAAGATTGCTAAGTTAGAATTTAAGTGTGAAAATTCCAAAGAAAGACAAAACATAAAAAAAGAGGAACGGAGACACACAGACAGAGCAGAACCTAAGAACGATACAAAACGAGTGTAGACAGAGAAAATTACACTAAATATACAGGCAGAGAGAGAGAACAAGAAACCCAGAGAGAGAGAAAAAGGTAAACTTGGAACTTCCCCGTAGAAGTGGTTCAATCTTAATTTTGGAGCTTTCGTGACTGCAGGAATTATTCTTTGGTTTTTTCGGTAAAGTCACGTATAAAAATAAAATAATAAATTAAATAATAGCATACGACGTTTCGATTGCAACACAAGCAATCATCATCAGGTATAATGAAATAGCGACATAGAATATAACCAGAAAACTATAGACAGACATATAAGCAGACAGATATCACCAAGATACATAGAGAGAGCAACCCAGGTACAGAGAGAGGTGATCGTCTCTGTGGGGTGGCCTTACATAGACAGAGGGGGGCGGAGGCAGAGAGAGGGAGGGGGTAGGGAAAACATTTACATGTCAATGAGTACGAAGGGAGGGGAGTAAGGTAAGCAGGCTTAGAGGGAGACAGAACACACTAAATTAAATAACCTAGCAAAGTATCGAAATGTTATGTAAAACGACACAGAGAGTCGGTCAACACACAATTAACGCATTGCCTGGTCGATTACGTAATTCAAAGATTGCTAAGTTAGAATTTAAGTGTGAAAATTCCAAAGAAAGACACTCGTTTTGTATCGTTCTTAGGTTCTGCTCTGTCTGTGTGTCTCCGTTCCTCTTTTTTTTATGTTTTGTCTTTCTTTGGATGTTTCACACTTAAATTCAAAACATAAAAAAAAGAGGAACGGAGACACACAGACAGAGCAGAACCTAAGAACGATACAAAACCAGTGTCTTTCTTTGGAATTTTCACACTTAAATTCTAACTTAGCAATCTTTGAAATACGTAATCGACCAGGCAATGCGTTAATTGTGTGTTGACCGACTCTCTGTGTCGTTTTACATAACATTTCGATACTTTGCTAGGTTATTTAATTTAGTGTGTTCTGTCTCCCTCTAAGCCTGCTTACCTTACTCCCCTCCCTTCGTACTCATTGACATGTAAATGTTTTCCCTACCCCCTCCCTCTCTCTGCCTCCGCCCCCCTCTGTCTATTTAAGGCCACCCCACAGAGACGATCACCTCTCTCTGTACCTGGGTTGCTCTCTCTATGTATCTTGGTGATATCTGTCTGCTTATATGTCTGTCTATAGTTTTCTGGTTATATTCTATGTCGCTATTTCATTATACCTGATGATGATTGCTTGTGTTGCAATCGAAACGTCGTATGCTATTATTTAATTTATTATTTTATTTTTATACGTGACTTTACCGAAAAAACCAAAGAATAATTCCTGCAGTCACGAAAGCTCCAAAATTAAGATTGAACTTTAATAGTATTTCCCACAATATAATAAACTATTATAACATTAACATTGCATTCTACTTAATCATCAACTCTGATAACTAACATGGTTAATACTATTTATAATATAATAAACGATTTAAATTATAAACATCACCGTGCTCCCCTCTGCCACACATGCTATTTTATTGCGTGCCTCCCGCTGCTGCTTCTACTAAATGCCAGGTTCATTTCATGGAGGTGGACACCACCCGCATCATAAACGAGGCTGTCCATCTCATCAGACGCTCGCTCTTCTCCCTAAGAGATGGAGCTGCTACTGCAGCAGAAGTAGGGTCTGTAAAATTGGTGCCAAATCCCTTTTGCAGCCGATGGGCTGGTGGAGCAGGGAATGATGACACCGCCGTCTATGTCTACAAAATGGCTGTTCTGCACCCAGGGACTGGGGCGCCACTGTGGAAAAATGTTAACAACGTCGCCTGGTGTACAGGAGGCCATTGGTTCAATCCCAAACCTGGCGCCTGTATATTCGGAATTTGCATATTCTCCCCATGGTCGTGTGGATTTTTCTCTGGGTCCTCCGGTTTTTCCCTCCACATTTAGAAACATTCTTTACAGTATTTGGCTGCTATACATTTCCTCATGATAAGCCACTTCGTTGAGCTATTATTTGTGGCCAGGTCGCTTCTCAAAAAGAGCTATATCGCTCAGTGGACCATACCTGGTAAAATATTTATTGTTTACATCGTAACTTCTCTTTTCTGACTTCACATTTTAGTAGCATACGCAATCACTTCCTGCTTACATTTAGGTCATTCTTCTGTACTCAGGCCCCTAGCATTTGATGTAGAGAGTAGGTTGTGAGTTTTGCTGCATCCACCGTATCTCTCCACACTGGGGAGTGTTCTTCCATATGCTGTAGTGCAGGGTGACAGGAGCAAACAGAGATACTGTGGACGACCGAAAATAGAGGAGCGATGGCACTGGCAGTTGGCGACCTTGTAGCTGACCCTGCTGGCGATGTGAAGTCAGTGGAGGGTAGCAGGGGGAGGTGAGGGAATCTAGCCGAGAATGACAGGCGCCGAGGATGACACGGGCGAGATTACACTGCAGCCGGTGTAGTTTCTTGAGGATACGCAATGAAGTTCGAACTAGGACAGAGTTGCAATGTTTAAGGCGAGATCCGACTATGCTGCAGGCAAGGTTATCGGCGATTTCGGTGGTGGTGAGTGGACGGCAATGACGTGAGTGCCCTGAGGTGGTAGTTACAATATATGATATGGTTCATCTTCTTGGTTCTTTCGGTAAAGTCACGTAGAAGGGAAGTAATAAAATAATAAAAATAAAACATAATAAAACAATTCTCACGACGTTTCGGCCACAACGCAAGCAGCCGTCCTCAGGTGAAAACCAGGTCCGTCGAGGCGACAGAGTCTGAATGAAACAGCACACGAGCTTGGAGCATATATATAAGCTGGGCGCATTGACAAAGGAATTTGCATATCAAAAGGAATTTAGCATATTTATGGGAAATGCAGGAATGTGATTAGTACTGCATATGCATGTGCATTATGCAGGATTAACAGCATCAAAGGGAGCTGCAGTTACTGCTGCTGCTGCAGTTGCTGCTGCTGCTGCAGTTGCTGCTGCTGCTGCACTTGCTGCTGCTGCTGCACTTGCTGCTGCTGCTGCACTTGCTGCTGCTGCTGCAGTTGCTGCCTTATCCATTTTAATATAACACTATGTATTATTCTACCCACCCTAATGTGTATCATACTGCTATATGTTTACTGTACAATTACGACACCATACATTACTCTGCACACTGCACCATGCCAGTGAGTGGAACGCGGTCTGAAAGTCACCGTTAACGTGAACACAATCAGTTAAGATCCGAAATGGTTTATTACGTCCTTCCAATGATTGCTAAGCCAGAATCCATCTTCTCGGTTGAAATTGTCTCTGTGTTTGTATATGTGGATCGCCTCATGAACGAATCTGGCTATCATGAGAGATTCGTTCATGAGGCGATCCACATATACAAACACAGAGACAATTTCAACCGAGAAGATGGATTCTGGCTTAGCAATCATTGGAAGGACGTAATAAACCATTTCGGATCTTAACTGATTGTGTTCACGTTAACGGTGACTTTCAGACCGCGTTCCACTCACTGGCATGGTGCAGTGTGCAGAGTAATGTATGGTGTCGTAATTGTACAGTAAACATATAGCAGTATGATACACATTAGGGTGGGTAGAATAATACATAGTGTTATATTAAAATGGATAAGGCAGCAACTGCAGCAGCAGCAGCAAGTGCAGCAGCAGCAGCAAGTGCAGCAGCAGCAGCAAGTGCAGCAGCAGCAGCAACTGCAGCAGCAGCAGCAACTGCAGCAGCAGCAGTAACTGCAGCTCCCTTTGATGCTGTTAATCCTGCATAATGCACATGCATATGCAGTACTAATCACATTCCTGCATTTCCCATAAATATGCTAAATTCCTTTTGATATGCAAATTCCTTTGTCAATGCGCCCAGCTTATATATATGCTCCAAGCTCGTGTGCTGTTTCATTCAGACTCTGTCGCCTCGACGGACCTGGTTTTCACCTGAGGACGGCTGCTTGCGTTGTGGCCGAAACGTCGTGAGAATTGTTTTATTATGTTTTATTTTTATTATTTTATTACTTCCCTTCTACGTGACTTTACCGAAAGAACCAAGAAGATGAATCCCTGCAGTCACGAAAGCTTTAAATCGAAATATGATATGGTTGGTGTAGCCGTCGAAGGAAGAGATGTAATGGGAGAATTGGAGAGTAGAGCCAGCGATTAATATGCGCGAAGGATGCGTGGAGGTGGCGAGGGGCTGTCTGGTGCCAATCAGGATGGCTTCCGATTTGGAACCATTCAATGAGAGATTGTTGACCCAGAACCACTGCTTGCAAGGCGGCGGTGCACTCTGAGAGCCTCTATAACCCAGAGGCATCAGTGGAATCAACAGATGTAAACAGTAGAGTGTCATCTGCACAGGAATGGCATTTAACACCTGAGCTCTCAATGAGGCAGCCAACAGAATATACCAATAAAGACAACAACTCCACGCATAGCCTTAACAGACTGTTGGGGCGAGTACTATTAGCAAGCACCTATGAAGACTGGCATGGCACACGAGCAGGTGGGTGGGCTGCACCATGCCCAGCCGCCTTTGTCTCTGTAGTGGCGAAGTTTACACACCGCATCAGGTACTTATTTAAGGTTGAGTCGACCTAGGGGAGGCCCAAGATCAGTTCAAATAATCGTTACTGATGTTACCCCATAGCTGTCAACCGCTTATCAATGCCTACCTTATTATAGACCAATTCAGACCTTATTGGTCACCCTGTGCCCTTATAAATCTCAACGTTCATCCTACAAAGTTCCATCACAAGGGAGAAACACCAAAAAATTTACACATTTTTTTAAACTCAATTTCCCTGTACAAGAATACAGGTAAACCGTATGGGTTGACAAGTATGTTACCCGTGAGTGGGAATCAAACTCAGGTCATCGGGTTGATAGTGCAGCACGCTAACTGCTACACTATCGCTCCCACCTGCATATATAAACATTAAAGATCCCCCATATAGCCTTAACAGATCATTGGGGAAAGTGATGTTAGCGAGCACCTATGAAGGTCGGTACGGCACACGAGGGGAGGGGGGTGGCCAGCATCACGCCCGGTCGCCTTTGTCTCCCTGGTGTTCATGTTTACACATCTGCACCAGGTACACACACACATATATATAGACAGTAGAATCCCGATTATCAATCATAATTGGTGCAGGACATCCACAGATGAGTGAGAACCCAGTTAAAGAGAATCCAGTTATTTAAGGTGCTATAAACCACTATAATGGGATGGAGTGGTGGTTTAGTGGTTAGCGCACTGCACTCTGAACCCTGTGACCAGTGCTTGATTCGCAGGCACAGCTTATATCAGTGGCAAACGATATCTGAACTGGTCCTGGGCCCCTGTTCACAACTCCCACTGACCAGCATAGTGAAGTATGGTCAAAACCCCCATGACTAACACAGCACAGAGGCCTTCATCCAGTAGTGAATGGACAAATGACTGTAAATTGTTATAATTAATCACTATATAGCAACAACAAATGTTTAAAACTATAGAATTTCGATTATAAGTATATATTTTTTTCTTCCCAGCTCCAATAACTAGTATCAGGCTTTGCTTGCTTTTTTAAGGGCTTTAACATCACATTGTGAGAGGCGAAATGCCTGATTAACTAATAATGTGCATCATATATTTTTAAGTGTTCAGCATGACCAGGGGTCAGCAACCTGCGGCTCCAGAGCCACATGCAGCTCTTTAATGACTGCTTCGTGACGTTATTTATTGAGGACCACCATATCGTATTCACATGCATTGAGGCTCTTGAAATACAATATTGAGGGGTTTTTTCCCCGAATTAAATAAAAAGTCTCTTCTTGTTATTTTGGTTCCCGACCCCTGAGCATGACAATTGAAACAATTTCTTAATATAATCAAGCTCCAGGACATATTTTTAGGGGGAACGAATATAAACATTTTAGTTCTATGATTCTTTTAGTTATAAACCTGAGCTCAACTATATTTGTGCCAATATTTTTCCATTCTATTCCACCTAGAACATATTAGATGACAGGAAAGCAGCTTTACTCCCTTGTTGAGGCTCTCGAAACTCCCATCTCAAGTACCCGGTCACACTTTATTGAATCATTCCACATGTAAACATGTGTTTTTACGTGTCAAATGGATTGGGGAAAGAGTGGTTGGCTCTTTCCGTTAGAAGGGATTACGCTATGGCATATGATATTTCCCGATGACCAAATTACCCAGAATGCACCTGATCTTGTCAGATCTTGGAAGCTAAGCAGGTTTGAGGCAGGATTGTGCGTGGATGGGTTAATTTAATCTCCCGGTTAAATAAGGATACAAACACTTTGGACACAGGCGTACAGCTGTATTGTGCCGTAACAGGATTTAGAGGAAGTCTGGTGTCCCAGATGTTGACTCAGATGTTCCCCCTGCTACAAATTTAGCATGAGTAATCACGTATTATACTTCTGAAAGACACAGGAGACAGTCAACCCCCAGTGACATCTCTGGAATGTGTTATGGCAATGCGCTTTGTCACATTTTGACATGTGGGGAAAAAATTCATGAATGAAGCTTCAAACTCATGCGGGACTGTCTGAAATAAACAGACTAGGTAAATAACTACAAAACTATAACTATTCGTTGTTTCGGACTGCATCTGCCTTTTAACGTTTACAGTGAATGCATAATTTGACTATGACTACACCCACTGTAATAATTGTTTTATAGTCTGAGCCTTTTTTTAAGTTGTGCAACATCATAAATGCAAATACATGCTGCATTTACAATAGGTACTAGAGCAACGATGTGTAAAACATTAATTAACTGACATTTCATAATAATAATAAACATATACTTCATAGAATTAAAAAATAAAGTTAAATTGTCCCACTGCTCAAACAATCACGGCGTTGGTGCGTATGTTTAATGGTGGCCATGAGTTTGTGGTAATTCTACATCACCATAGCGAGGGCTGGCCTCTCATTGTACGACTGTTGACATCCCACACATTGGTAAATAGTGGCAACCATAATAAATAATCTAACAGTACAATTCATTACTATTAAGTAGATGTCGATAACAATTTTATAAACAGCCAAAATGTATATACTATAGGTATGATCATATATTGTATTATTATTACAATGGAGCAGCTTAAAGTAATGAGATCTATGGGTTGCTGCAGCTTTATGTAATCTAGCTGCTATTTTATACACAATATTCACTCAAAACTAGATTAAATTTTTTAAAAATAAATTCCAGTAAATTCAATAAAAAAATAACTCATGACTAATAAATGTATATCTAAAGCTCTAATATGCATTGTACATGTGTATGGGAGATAACTCTGTGGCCATACTGCCCAGAAAATAATCAGTATGAAGACTAAGCGTGTGATTCATGTTGGCAGGGGACTTATTAAGTCTGGCAGGGTACTCAGTTTGGCACAACCAAGCCAAAAACAATTCATATATTGGACACGTCCGCCAGCAGAGGCTGATTGAACATTTTTGTGTGATCTGACGGCCATAGGACCATGACAAAGGGCATATTCTTCATAAGTCAAATGCACATCTACCCATTGAGGCTGGAGGATCTATTACATATTTTAAAGGGATTCTCCACAGAAAAAGGGGCATTTCCTGGGCAGAACGATGAAACCTAATCCACAATTCACATCCTGAAAAAAGCACCAGCCGTGCTGAAAGATCACTCATGTAGCCGATCCAGGGGCCCATGTGTAAATTCAGGTTTAAATAGGGAGGCATAACTTGCTATTCAGAAATAGTGATTGTGTTAGTCTATTGTAATAGAGAAAAGCAAGTGGAGAGAATAGAATATAGAGGCACATTGCACACACAGCGGATCTAGCGAGAACAGAGAGAGATCGAGGGTAGAGAGAGAATAGTTATAAAACAGAAGACATATAAACAATGACAATTAAAGCAACATCAATACAAACATCACTGATCATTATAGTCCATCATTCTCATGTTTCCCAGAACCATACTATGGCAGCATTCGGAAACTTGGGTTATTATATAAACGTTTTAGTCTCATTTGAAAATGTGGTGGTGGGATGTTAATATTATGTATTGGGCACATACACTGCCCCACGGGCATGCCATGCACAACCTATGATGAGCTCTTTGCGCTGGGATATGCTGATGTCGTGACACCAACACTATCCAGCCCACAGCCTGATTAGTTGGTGCCACTGGAGGATGTCTGGCAGATCTGCTAACTCATCTCAAAATATGAGATTGATTTGAATGGAGAAGCCTTGGTGGAAATCAGATGATTTATGCCAAACATTTTATAGATCCTCTACGACAGTGCGAAATGCCTTATATAATTTAAAAATGAAAATGTATTGTATACAAGCACAGCATAAAAGTTGCCAATTCTCTCAGAAAACTGTACACATGGGGGGATGCTACCATGGTGCAATGGTTAGCAGACTGGACATGCAACCCACAGGTTACCGGTTCAATCCACCCACCTCTGTCCACCCAGAAGTATAAATGGTTACACCACGGTTAGTTGAGTGGCAGGTTGCATGTGGTAAAGTATAGTATGGGTATTCCCACCTCTTCAAAGATATCTGGCCAGCATGGAAGAGTAGGCCAAATTCCTTCTAGAGGAGCTCTCCAGAGCTCCCCCTAGGGGAGGCATGTTATGTTTCCAGTGGCATGAGCAAGTAAATGCTGGGCTGCACCCTTACCGTTATCTTTTTTACTGATCATTTTTATGAACAGTTACTTGTACATGGGGACATCGTGCTTAATGAAGTGTAAGGACTGTATTTGTGTATAGTGGCAAAGTGAATTCACCATACCCTTCAGATCTGTGGGTCACATAACGGCTGGCAGGCACAGGAACCTGCATAAGTCCTGGCCTCCGCCCTCCCGCTTTGGCCTGCTGTCTCTCGAAACCACCACCGTCCTGAGGGGAACCACCACTTGAGAAACTCTGCGCAACTTCAGCTGGCCACGTGCCAGGGCTTAGGGCTGAGCCTGTAAATTTCAAGAGACATAATTTTAAAACATTATAGATAAGAATTGGTGCGGATGCCCTGGGGTTTAGATATGCAAAGGCAGGCTTCTTAATCTACATTCAAAGCATGTGTCAAATTCTAAACACATTTGGGGCCAAATACAGTTTTTCTATTTTAAACAATTTAACTATGTGCACTTATTCATTTACCTAAATAAAATGTTGATGCATCAGGACAGTTTATCCATTGTTAAAATTATTATTTCAATGAAGAAACATTCATCTAATCGTGCAGGTAAAATTTATATTGTTTATGATTTATGGAAATTTGAGGTAAACAAAATACTGTTACATTTAGGATAAAAGGGCAAACAAAACTGTACAAAACAGAACAAGATGGTAAAAACTAGACAAAGTTAATTAATTCTTGAATCAAATTACAGCCCTGAATCTTGACAATTCATTGAATCGCCAGAGACAAATAATTCCATGCATATTATACAGGACAATAAGTAAGAAGCATGGTAAAACTTGAACGATGAAAAGTATTTTAAAGTCAAACATGTTGAAGGAATATTTTTTTACATGCTGGCTGTTAATATGCCACCTGCTCTATGAAAGAAAAACATTTCACCAAATCATGTAGTACTTTAACAATTAAGCAACACTACATAACAGCAACCATTTCAAACTGAGGCACATTTGGTTACATTCCATCCGATCTGGTTTATGGACATTTCTAACAAAAAAATCCACACAATACTGTGCACTGCATAATTTAAATCTTTCCAAGGCAACAGGAGCATGTGACCTTCTTTTGACTATATGCCCTGTTATTTAAAATTGGCAACCCTACATCAAGGTCTTTGGTGACAATAAATATAATTGCACATTTTCCTTCACTTCGGTGGCAACAAATGTAAGAATTACATTTCAGCAGAAGCACAGGCATGCAATTAACCGACGGCTGACATGCAATCTTTTTTCCTGTGTAACATCACCAGGGATTCAATCAAGAAAATGTAATGTAATTGGTGAAGGCACTATTTTGCCCAGTTTTACCTCACAAATATTCATCTATTCATTAGTAAAATTTGTAACGCACATAAATTATGCAGAGGGAGAGGTGGGAGTGAATTCCAGACGAGAGCTATGGCAGAGAAACAACCTCGTCTGGTTCGCGCTACAGGGCTTCACAAGCAGACTCACTTGAGGCAGATTAATCATTAGAAATGAATAGGGGTTAATAATGGCTTTACTCGGTTAAACTATACACGAGTCTCAAGAGCATTTCAATGGTCAGTTAATAGGTCTGCAACCAACAGTAGTAAAATGTTTGCTGTTTTTTCCCAAGCTTTTTGATAGAGATACCGGAGGGTGTCTACAGCACCATCTGCTGTCAAAGTGAAATAGTTCAGTTTGCTAAATCTCGGCTGCATACTTTCCCATGAATTTAAGGTCTGAAATGGCAGTGAACATTACACTGAAAAAAATGTGAAAATGTGGAGTCACTACAAATGCCTCAGACCCATTCTATATATGTGAGTCTCACCAGGTTATAGACACCAGTAATTAATATTAGAGCCGAGAAGATTAGTCGATAACTAGTTGACTTTTTGTGGCCGATTACTTAGTTCCCTTTAAAAAAGTGTCAATCTCCCTTTCAGTCCATGGCTTAATATGAAGTAAGCCATGATATGGATAACGTCACCAAGCCCTGCCCATCACCTCCCGTCCAGCGTCACACCTGTCATTTTTTCTCCGGGTCCTCTTGGTTTTTCCCTTCACATTTAGAAACATGCATTTCTTATTATTTAGCTGCTATAATTTTCCACGTGATAAGCCACTTCGTTGAGCTATCATTTGTGGCCAGGTTGCTTCTAAAAACTAAGTTAATTGCTCAGTGGGCTTTACCTGGTAAGGTATAATTAGTTTAGTTTTATTTGTATATTTTGAAGTAATTTGTTTACCTTTCCTATACTTTGCACTCCTATCATGTTTTTGTAGTGTTTGTTATTCTAACGTACTGACCTGCCCCTACCGGACATGTGAAAGAGCTTTATGGCTCATCGGATTGCTCTATTATAAATATTTTGATACTTTTTTCCAAACTATTTTTCATGATATCCCATTTTCTGAGTAATTGTACCGATAAGCGGCTTAATTAACCATCTACTACCCCAACTATGAATTGATTTCTCTACGCACAATACTGCAGCTGCCAAAAGTAAATTTCAGCAGTACATGAACTCACCAGCAGCCCCCCACTGGGAAGAATGACTGGCGGGGCTAGCCAAGGTCTCCATTAGCTCACCATCAGAGGGCTCAGAAGTCATGGGTTGTCGGACACGCTTCCTCTTGTTAAACAACGGTATCAATGGGAGCCCTGCATATCGTAAAAATATATAAAAGTACCGTTACAATTAAAAAAAAGTAAATGTGCAGCCCTGCAATTTCTGGCTCACGCCACTCCTTGTAGAAGGGCCCTCCATTAGAGGGAGCTCGTGTCCCTCGAGAGAAATGGTTCACGGAACTGTTGCAGATACCTAAACTTTTACTGCCCACAAAACACTATATTACGACTGCCTGTTGCGCAACTTTTTAGATGTTATGTGAGCCAATAAAAAGCAAGTTAATCGTTTTCTTGGCTTTTTAATTAACATTTTATGACACTTTTAAAGTAGTTTTATTATTTTCATTGGTGCATGATGGCCCGCAAAAATGTTGGTGGTTGAAAGTCCCCTGCGGGACCAAAAAGGCTAGGAACTACTGATCTAGAGGGTATATTTGGCCTACTCTTCCATGCTGGCCAAACATCTCGTAAGAGGTGGGAGTACCTCCATTTTACCCCACCACGTGACCTTCCGATTGGGGTGCACCCATTATACTGTTGTGTGGATACAGTGGGATTTAATAAACGTGAGACCACTTCATTGCAAGTCCAATGTGCTTATCATTACACCACAACACGAACATACCATTACACGTTTCAACATATGGTGAATTAAATGTCCAAATGGGTTTAGTGCATGTCACGTGTTGTACCATTTTACAGTGCTCTCGTACCTGAACCTGCTCCACGGCTCTCTGAAAAATCTGGGTTCATTTTATATCTGGTTCTCCCTTACTCTGTTTACAAAACAAGGGGAGAAATTACTTTTTGTATTACATGGTACATCATTATTTTACAGTCGTCTTTTACAGTACAATGTGGATTTATACAGCGTAGAAATACATCTCAAGATGATGTGTAAATGCAGATCATTTTTCTTTTGGAGGACAAAGAACAAACAGTCGAATACTTCAAAGCAAATAATTAAAGGAAATTACTTTATTGTGAAAGAGCTCAAGGAGACATTATATAGGCAGTCAACAAAGGCAGAAAATAAATTGAAGGTCTTCAGACTGTACTTGTAAAGGGAGTTAATTTAGGAGTGTGGACAGCCAGGAAGAGGGAATTCCAGATAACACGGGCAGCAGCAGAGAAAAATAATCCTCCCATTGAACAGATGTTGACAGATGGGAAGTGAGATTTACTCCCTTTCTGTAGGAAACCGAGGACGAGGTGCAATTTGGAAATTAGTTAATATTAAGGGCGAACTGGACGAGTGCTTGTGGAAAATTCATTATCATGATGTTATTGAGGCAGCCTGAACAGGTATGGCACAGGTGTGTGTGTGAGGATGCATTTTAATTATTCTTGAGACGGGAAAGTAGTTGAGGGTGGTATAGGTGAGTGAATATCGTGGTGTATGTTGAGTTGATTTTGCTGGGAGATATAAGATTAATTTACAGGGTTAGTATATGGATAAATATTTATCTCCATAATATGGGTTTTTTTGGGTTATATCGAGTAAATATGTCGTTAAACCCACCACCACCCGACACAGCCAATTAGTAAGGTGTGTCACGTAAACAGAACATGCCAATTTGTTACTAGTACAGCACACCGGTGTGTTGGAGAGCAAATCCATTATATTTACAATCTGAGTACTTAATGCCACATTTATATATTTATGCAATCTAACCCAAAAAAACCTGTATTATGGATATTGGTCGTGAAAGCCTACGTGTTAAACCAAATATTTATGATTACAAATAAGTAACAAGATGACATTTCACTGGCATAAATAATTAAGTCAAGTGAAATACAGCATTTGACTAAATACAATAATAGAACTGCATACATGAGACGTTACTGTAAAAATATAAAGATGTGACTATGATTCTGGATTAATTCCACATGTTTTTCAATTGTTACATGCACACTAACTGCCCTTGCACAAATAACTTTAGATCTTTCTAAAGATACAGATTTGCTGCACACAACAAAATCTAGACTATTGCCACTTTTCATTAAATTGCCATTAGGTTAAAAAAAGTGTCTTGACGGTGTATTTTGAGTCTAACCAAAAACGGATTACACTCGTAATTGCCTCTGTAGATGCACCCATAATACAACCATGCTATGGAAAATCCAAAATGCCTTTCCTTTCACCATCAGAGAAAAAGGCACGGCCAATTGTATGGATTCTATGCAATAAAATTGCCCTCGTCAGGCCTCAATCAATACACACACACACGCGTATTTTATAACACACAAGAGAGAGCTGGCTCTCTGTGCTGTCAGTGCCGGCCACATGCCACGAGGAGATTGCGTGAGTGTAGGGCCATTGTTATGGAAAACCCTCCTTGTCTGCCCATTGACATCCCGCGTCTGAGTGCCACCTCAACCCACCCAAGGGTGGCCCCATTTGAACCAAAGTCACGTGCTCGCCCTTCTTCACCATGGCTCACTTAAAATTTACTCGCAACGGGTCAACCACTCTGGGTACAATAGCATTGAAAGGCTAAATAAAAACGGAAGCATACAATTGGTTTTCTAATTTTCATATTCGCTCCAATAAGTGGTGTCTATTCACACGTGGGCATTTGGTAAATACGCCATAAAAACTGCATTAGATACAATAAAAGCCCTACCCAGAATATATGTAGAGTTAATATGTTTTGAAAATGTTTTAGTGTATAATATGCACGATTTATTTAAGTATTTTTCATCATTAACATGAGCAATACTTTTGAGTGAAACCCCACTTAATAGCCATGAACACAAATACATTGAAAAACCAATTGGAAACAGTTGGGATAAAATGTTCAATATTTCACATGTATTTTACAAATAAAAACCGCACGATAATACTAATTATCAAATGATTAATTACATTATAAAGTGTGGGTATTATTCTTGAAAAGGAAACATTCAGCACAAATGTAAAACATCGCCTCAGATGAAAAAAGGGGTTAGCAGTGGTGCAGCGACATGCATTGTTGTTGGACTGTACTATGATCAACCTGCTATGCTCCTCGCCGTGACCAGAGTGGTTAAGTATTCATACTCTTAGGTTTTTTTCGGTAAAGTCACGTAGGTAAAATAATAAATAGAAATAAAATAAAAATAATAGAAATAAAATAATAAATCACGACGTTTCGGAGGCAACACAAGCTTCCTTCATCAGGTGTAAAAAGGCACAGCAAAATAACTGTAGTTACTTTAGTAATTGTAGTTATTTTGCTGTGACTTCTTACAACTGATGAAGGAAGCTTGTGTTGCCGCCGAAACTGTCGTGATTTATTATTTTATTATTACTATTTTTTTACCTACGTGATTTTACCGAAAAAACCTAAGAGTATGAATCCTTGCAGTCACGAAAGCTTCACATCTAGAATGGTTAAGTATTGTCTAATAGTCATCACGACCAGCAATAGCGTGGAGACCCTCATTTAGCAGTGGATTATGCCCGTGTCAAATTATACAAATCTGGTTTCACACAAATACCGGATTATAACACGCACACCCAAAATTATTATGTTAAATACAAAGGGAAAATGCGTCTTATTATACGGGGAATGCGGTACAATAATTGGATTTTGTTCGAAATTGAATAAATATCGAAAATTCGGCAGCGATTAAATCGCCTCAGGATTCGATATTTTTTTTTTACTCTGCCATTTGGTCCACAGTACTTTTACTATCTCGTTATTTCTATTTACCTTACGGTAAAACCTATATATCGCAGACGACACAACACCTTTAATAAACTCGTACAATATTTAAACAGTCTTAGACGGATCAAATTCAATCGAACCTCAAGCTCACGACACTCCAACGGAATCGAATCGGAGAAAAAGCGCGGGAAACGGCGGGATTGTATTTCATAGACCGCATTAGCCCGATTGGTTCGGCGCGGGCGCACGCGACACGGCCGCCGGGCCGCGCCTATGCGGTCTATGAAATGTCAGGGTGACGTCACGCGCCTCGAGGTGACCTTGATTTTTGTAAACACCGGCACGGTGACCTTGACCCTTGTAGACACCTGTACTTTGACCTTGACCCTTTAAACACCTGGGCAGTGACCTTGACCCTTGTAGACACCTGTTCGGTGACCTTGACCCTTGTAAACACCTGTACGTTGACCCTGGCCCTTGTAGACACCTGTACGGTGACCTTGACCCTTTAAACACCTGTACTGTGACCTTAACCCTTGTAAACACCTGGACGGTGACCTTAACCCTTGTGGACACCTGTACGGTGACCTTGACCCTTGTAGACCCCTGTATGGTGACCTTGACCCTTGTAGACACCTGTACGGTGACCTTGGCCCTTGTAGACACCTGTACGGTGACCTTGACCCTTGTTGACACCCGTACGGTGACCTTGACCCTTGTAGACACCTGTATGGTGACCTTGACCCTTGTAGACACCTGTACGGTGACCTTGGCCCTTGTAGACACCTGTACGGTGACCTTGACCCTTGTAGACACCTGTACGGTGACCTTGACCCTTGTTGACACCTGTACGGCGACCTTGACCCTTGTAGACACCTGTACGGTGACCTTGACCCTTTAAACACCTGTAATGTGACCTTGACCCTTGTAAACACATGTACGGTGACCTTGACCCTTGTAGACACCTGTAGGGTGACCTTGACCCTTGTAGACACCTGTACGGTGACCTTGACCCTTTAAACACCTGGACGGTGACCTTAACCCTTGTGGACACCTGTACGGTGACCTTAACCCTTGTGGACACCTGTACGGTGACCTTGACCCTTGTAGACACCTGTATGGTGACCTTGACCCTTGTAGACACCTGTACGGTGACCTTGACCCTTGTAGACACATGTACGGTGACCTTGACCCTTGTAGACACCTGTACGGTGACCTTGGCCCTTGTAGACACCTGTACGGTGACCTTGACCCTTGTAGACACCTGTACGGTGACCTTGACCCTTGTAGACACCTGTACGGTGACCTTGACCCTTGTAAACACCTGTACGTTGACCCTGGCCCTTGTAGACACCTGTACGGTGACCTTGACCCTTTAAACACCTGTACTGTGACCTTAACCCTTGCAAACACCTGGACGGTGACCTTAACCCTTGTGGACACCTGTACGGTGACCTTAACCCTTGTAGACACCTGTACGGTGACCTTGACCCTTGTAGACACCTGTACGGTGACCTTGGCCCTTGTAGACACCTGTACGGTGACCTTGACCCTTATAGACACCTGTACGGTGACCTTGACCCTTGTTGACACCTGTACGGTGACCTAGACCCTTGTAGACACCTGTACGGTGACCTTGACCCTTTAAACACCTGTACTGTGACCTTGACCCTTGTAGACACCTGTACGGTGACCTTGGCCCTTGTAGACACCTGTACGGTGACCTTGACCCTTGTTGACACCTGTACGGTGACCTTGACCCTTGTAGACACCTGTACGGTGACCTTGACCCTTTAAACACCTGTACTGTGACCTTGACCCTTGTAAACACATGTACGGTGACCTTGACCCTTGTAAACACCTGTACGTTGACCCTGGCCCTTGTAGACACCTGTACGGTGACCTTGACCCTTGTAGACACCTGTACGGTGACCTTGACCCTTGTAGACACCTGTACGGTGACCTTGGCCCTTGTAGACATCTGTACGGTGACCTTGACCCTTGTAGACACCTGTACGGTGACCTTGACCCTTGTTGACACCTGTACGGTGACCTTGACCCTTGTAGACACCTGTACGGTGACCTTGACCCTTTAAACACCTGTACTGTGACCTTGACCCTTGTAAACACATGTACGGTGACCTTGACCCTTGTAGACACCTGTAGGGTGACCTTGACCCTTGTAGACACCTGTACGGTGACCTTGACCCTTTAAACACCTGTACTGTGACCTTAACCCTTGTGGACACCTGTACGGTGACCTTGACCCTTGTAGACACCTGTACGGTGACCTTGACCCTTGTAGACACCTGCACGGTGACCTTGACCCATGTAGACACCTGCACGGTGACCTTGACCCTTGTAGACACCTGTACGGTGACCTTGACCCTTGTAGACACCTGTACGGTGACCTTGACCGTTTGTAGACACCTGTACGGTGACCTTGACCCTTTAAACACCTGGACGGTGACCTTAACCCTCGTGGACACCTGTACGGTGACCTTGACCCTTTAAACACCTGGACAGTGACCTTAACCCTTGTGGACACCTGTACGGTGACCTTGACCCTTGTAGACACCTGTACGGCGACCTTGACCCTTTAAACAACCGCACGGTGACCTTGACCCTTTAAACACCTGCACAATGACCTGCTGCCTGCCTTCAGTCGCACTCAACTGGCACTGGCGCGGGCACCACGAGAAGGACATGCAACAACATCCAATGCAGTGATAGAACGAGGCTGTAAGTCTATGCCCATCCGCCCTCACACCCCACAATGGCCAGCGTGATGAAGTGACCGGACGGGTGGCGCTGTAGCACGATAACGACAGATTGCCCCGCCCCCACCCACCCATATATGGAAGGGGGCGTGGCGTTAGCGGAAGGGGCGTGTCTTTGCCCATATATGGTCATTGTTGATCGTGAATCGCGAATCATTGTATAGATTCCCGCTCACTCGATCCGGCACTATCCAGCTCAAAGTCGATCGGGCTTGAAAATGTACGATTTAATCTTACGTTAAATTACACGGCTCACAGATATACAACAACGGTATTCGTGTCCGATTTGTACGTGACTTTTTATAGTAGTTTGTTCATGCTGTGCTAAATCCCTGTTCAACAATGTCCTTTTTTACGCTTAGAAATCAATGTTATGCTAATGTACGATTTTATCATAGCCCGTATTCAGTGTATTTTGATTTTAATATGCGGTCCACAGATCATAGAAAACAACAATATTGATGTCCGATTTTGTACGTAAATGTTGACAATAGTTTGTTCATATGGTCGATCAAAGTGCTGTGTTAAATTTCTCCGTAAAAATATAAAATTGTCAACTTAAAAATCAATGTTATGCTAATGTTCGATTTCTATAATAGCTGCGATTAAGTGTATTCTGGCCTCCAACTTGACTGTCAGATTTTCTATTCAACTTCAACTCGGTGAGTGCATGCAGCAAGGCGTCCGCATGATGAACCATGTGGACATTCGAGGTTACCGAATTTCTGGAAGCAAATGAAGAAACTATAAAGGTCGTCACACTTGTTTTCATTTGGTTAACAGATAACGACATGCCGCTGTAAATGCAAACTATGACAAACACAAAAATGGAGATGTGAGCAGCACATCACAAGGTTGCCACACACTCCAGAGAAATAGAACTGTAGTGGGCCCAACTGGGTCGCAGACATTCTTCTTAGAGACAACACATTTATTACACCAACACGAATACACAAAGGGGTAGCTGCTGCCCCTTTACCAGATAACAGCCTAGGGTGTTGGACCACCAGGCTAACTACACTAACACACTGGGAGCTGGCTACAACGGACCGGACCCCGGCTCGGGTCCCGGACCACGTGTTGGAGGCTTCTTCTTGACGTAGAACGTAGCTCTTCAGATGACGATAGCAACGACGACTGCGGTCCCTTGCGGGGACCCGGCTTATATGCTCCCGGGCTGGGGCCGGCTCCGCCCTTGGCCCCGCCCACCTTCGAGAGAGCTCTGGCTCTCTCTCGATTCTTCTTGAGACAACTTTCCCCGGACACGTGACCGCCCCTGAGCCCCCATCTGGGCCCCCCCCCCGCCCTGTAGACTTTACCGATCACGTGCCTTCGGGGTCAACCAGAGTACCATGGCCCAGGGTAACCCTGTCCCTGGGCTGACACTCTCCCACTCCCTCCGGTAGGAGACAGCACTGCACGCCACACGTGGTGCCACTGCACTATTGCAGTGCTCACCAAGCCCTCACTAGGTCTGGTACTACACCCACCTACGGGGTGTCCGCGATGACGATGCGTCGCACGCCGTGCCTTGCCAGAGCCGGCATT